TAAATTTCCTGGTTTTTTCTGCATAATCCCACTCTCCTGCTGCTGCTAACTCAGCCTCTCCTGAATCCCTGATCCAGGAATTTGCAGCCATTCCCAACCTGTTCCGGCTCCTGCCTTTCCTTTTCCTTCCAAACTGCCCTTCCCAATCCATGGAGAAATCCCTGATCAATACAAGCCACGGAAGGGAATGCAGAGGGAGGGAAGGAAATGTTGGGCCTTTGATGTCGGATTTCATCTGGAATGCATCGAGAGCCAAATGTTTTGGGATAAACAACTGTCAGGAGCAGGGAATGACCGGATCCACATGGATGGGGTGACCCAAAGCAAGGGAAAATGGGATTATCCCAAGCATTCCCACTGCTGGGGCATCCCCTCCTCTGCCACCCTGGTACATCTAGGGCCGAGAGGAGGCAGGATTGCTTCCAATCCTGGGATAATTGACCCTGGAAAACCACTGCAGGTGGGAGCAGAGCCGGTTATTCAGGGATTTCTCCACGTGGATTTGAAAATTTCCAATGTTGGAATGTTCCAGAGCCCCTCTGGGCAAGCTGGGCCAATAATTCAGTGTGGGAATGATGAGGAAAATTCCTTTAAATCCACTTTGAACCCCTCCCATGTGGCTGCGCCCATTGTCCTCCCATGGCTGCGGAGAGCTTGGATCTGTCCCCAAATTCCCACAGGAATTTTTAGCTTGGAATCCATCCCTCTCCAGGTTTTCTATCCCAGGTTTATTTTCTCTTCCCCCAGGTGATGCCTGAGGTTCCACCTGGAGCTGCTGCCGGATCAGGCGCCCTCGGGAGCCCCTGGCTTCCCCATCCTCCTGCCAAACTCGGCTCTGTTTATTCCCTGCCTCCTTCCCAGAAGGAATTGCAGCCCGGAGCTGCTGCTGGGACACTCCAATGAAGATAAAATCCCTCTTGGAATTCAAGCCAAGTTGTTCTCCCCCTTAATTCCTCCTTTTCCCCTCAGTTCTCCCCCAGCTGCCCCCCTGAGGTGCCCCACGGGAAGCCAGGCCCTGCCGATCCCGGTATCCCACACCTCACAATATTTATGGATTTCCTTGGAGCCAGAACTCCTCGGGAGCCCGCAGCTCCCTGGGCTCAGGTTTTAGGATTTATTTTGGTGTCTCCAGTGCTGCTGTCTGAGCCTGAAAATAGCAACGGAGTCTGATCTTATCAGCAGCTCTTGGAGACTCCAATTATCTCCTCCCGCCACTCCGGAGAAATCGGATCCCGCTTCTTGTTTGCTTATCCCTCTCCCTGTCCTCGGAAACCTCCCAGCCGCGGCCTTCGGAGCTCTTCAGGAGCCAGACTGGAATTTTGTACAGTGGGACAGGCACTTCCCGAAATCCAGCCAGGCCTGCATCCCAAAGCCGTGGGCCCAATGTTTTGAGAGAGAAACTGAGGCAAGAATTCCATTTTAGCAGCTCTTCCCACTCAATTCCTTTGGTATTAGGGATCCACAGCACCAGGCTGGGATTTGGGAAGTCTGTCCTTGGATATGGAGTGGGAGACTCCAGGACCTGACTCCAATGAACTGCAATTCCCTAAATCCAGCCAGGCCTGCATCCCAAAGCCTTTGGGATTGGCACCTGAGGGTAACGATGTTCCCAATGTTCTGAGGGAGAAACTGAGGCAAAAATTCCAGTTCATCATCTCTTCCTGCTCAATTCCTTTGGAAATTGGGATCCACAGCACCAGGCTGGGATCAGGTTGGATATTTGGGAATATTTCCTTCCTAAAATGCTGGCCAACCACTGGAATGGGCTGCCCAGGGAAGCGCTGATCCCTGGCATTGTCCCAAAAACCTGTGGATCCCAAAACCTCCAGGATGTGACACTGGGGACACGGGTTAGTGGATTCCTGCTTGGATTCACATCTTGGAAGGTTTTTCCAGCCTTCATTCCAAGATTCCAGGGAGCAGCTGAGTGACCCACACGCTGCAGAACAGGAGGAAAAACCCAGAACTCCTTCCTAGCCAGGAATCCCTTTGGAATTAAAGTTGGGAATGGGAAAGGAAAGCAGGGTAACTCCAATTTTTCCGAGTTGTTGAGCACAGCGCCTCCAATTGGGAAAATCCCTGAAGGTCCTCCAGATGTTTTTTGCAGCAGGATTTGGGAAGGGACGGCAGGAACTGCAAATCCCAGGAAAAATCACCCAGGAAACCACAAAAAACTCCAAAATTAATCCTGGTCTGGGATCTGAGTTTAGTAAAGCCATGGATCCCACCTGGATCCAGCCCAGCACATTCCCAAGGGTGAGCAGGACGCTCATTTTTGTGGGATCAGGGCATGGAAAAAGGAGAAATGACTAACCAAGATAAAATCAGACAGATTGGCCCCAAATTCCAGCTCTTAGCACCTCAATTGTCGGGATTTGGCAGATCCAAATCCACGATCCTGGCTTGAGTCCTTCCCTAAAGTCAACATCTAAAGTAAATATTTGGAATTCTCCCGGGCAGGATCAGCTCTGGATAAATGTTTTTTCCAGTGGTTTGCGCCGTGATGATTCCAAGCCCTTTGGCACCATCCCAAATCCATCGATCACCAGCAACGACGACGCTTTCCTTGATTTCAAAGCTAGGGAATTACTCATTTCCCAGCCTTTTTTGTTCCTCCCGGATCTTGTGCTTTGTGGGAGCTGCTCCACTTGGCCGGAGCTGGAGAGTGGAAAATAAACAGGGCTCACATTCCCGGGATTTTGGCTGTCAAGGGAAGCAGGGAATGACAGGGACCACCAGAAAGTGGGAAAATCCAAAGTGGGAATTGTGGTTTTCCAGGAGGGGACACTCCTTCCGAACTTCCTGGGTATTCCTTCGCTCTTTTCAGAGCTCTTGGGATCCATGGGATTGTGGATTTCTGAGCGTTCCTCAAAACTTGGAGCAGTCCCTGGATTTTTCCTCATTCTTTCCGTGTTTTCCATGAGTAGAGGTTCTTCCGCCTCATTCCCAACTTTTTGGGGACATCTTGGTGGTGGCCTTGGCATCTCCAGAGCTCTCGGAATCTGTGGGATTGTGGATTTCTGAGTTTTCCTCAAAACTCGGAGCAGTGTCCAGATTTTTCCACATTTTTCCATGTTTTCCACATTTTCCATGTGGAAAAGTTCCTCAAATATAACAAAATTCTAATTTTTCCCTAAATTCCAGCTCCTAATCCAGGTGAATCTTCCCACTAAAAATAAAGAGGAATTGGTTCCCAATCCCAGAAAAAATCCCTCAGGAAGCTCCTGGAGTATAAATAATTTTTCATAGGAACATTTGTAATTCCTACACAGTTTTTAATCAGCCCAAAAATTGGAGGAGGGGTCCAGGTTTGGGAATTAAAATCCTTTGGAAATTCCAGGGAACAGTTTCCCTTTGGAAAATGAAATTTCCCAGCTCAAATGCATGGAATTTTCAGCTGAGGAAACCCCAAAAATTCTTGATTAAACAGGGACACAGGGACTGGGATTTTGGGTTGAGTTGTTCCATAAAAAAAAAATAAAAAAATCTCTGAATGTTTTTATTGAGTTTAATTAAATTTTATTCATTTTATTAATTTTTCCTGAATTTTGGGGGCTTTTTTTTGGGCTTCCACAGAAGTTTCTCTTTAGGTTTCCACATGAATTTCCCGTTAATTCCATGGAAAAAGACAGTGGTTCCAACCTCGATAATTCCCTCATAATTCCATTTTTAATTGGAAAATTTTTTCCTTTCCCTTTTTTCCCGATTATTTTATGTTAAAATCAGAGAACACCACCCGATTTTAGTCATAAACACTGGGGTTTGGACAGTTAAATTCTCAGTTTTTTAAGGAATTCAGGCTTCCAAAGGCTTGGAGTGACATCTAGTGACTGCCTGGGACAGGCAGAAAAATTTGGGAATAAATCCCATAAGGAACCCTTTGCTCCAATAGCAAAATCCCAGAGTTATTCTGAATTACTTATGGAAAAAAAATGGGATTAATTTAATTTTTGAGGGAAGTTTGAGTTCTTTCAATGTTTGAAATTTGGAGGAAAATCGATTTTAAAAATATTGGAATGGCAGGGATTAAAGATTCCAAGAAAATCAGGGGGGGGAAAAATTCCCTTTAAAATAATTTGGCTGCATCCTCAGCTAATTTTGCTTCCTGGGTGGAATTTTCCAGTGAGAATAAAGAGGAAAAGTGGATAAAATAATGGGAAAATGGATGGTATTCTCGGAATTAATGGATTTATTTGTCATTTTCCTGGGAAAATAAAGAGAATACACTGGCAAGAATTATAAATAAATATAATTATAAATAAATATTCACATTACAGGTAATTTATCACAATACAGACAACATTAACGAACCTCAGATGGCAAATGGATGTTTAAAAAACTGGAATTTGCTGTCATCTTGGAAAATTCCTGGTTTGGAATAGGATATTTTGGGAAAAAAAGACTCCCTGGTAATCCCTAAGCATGCATTATAAAGATAATTATAATTATTATAATCATAATAGTTGAGTTTGACATGCAAAAATAATTGAGTTTTTGCAGGATTTTAGTTTTGTTTTAGGAGGAAGTCATAGCCTTGAAATTTTCAAAATAAAGCAGATTTCTGAAGATTTTTAATCTTCAATAATTAATTAATCAAAATAAGAGAATAACAAGAAAAAAAAAACCAACAAAAACCCAACAGAATTGATCCCTTTGGCATTCCTAAAATTCCTAATTTTGCTAAGAAGCAAAAAAGAAAGAGAAATTGGCACTTCTTGAATTTTCAATTTTTCTTTGCCTTTTGTCTCTTCCAGCCAGAGTTGGGGAGGAGGGAATGGGACGGGAATGAAAGTGCAGAGTGCAACAAACACCAAAGAAATCACAAAAAAAGACACTGAAAAAATGGAATTTTACATTTACAAAATAAAAACCGCTCACGCCGCAAGAGCCGCGGCTGGGACAGGGGACTGGAAAAATTTTGGAGCAGCTGCCAGTGAAAAATGTCGGAATTCCAGGTTTGGAGATAAATCAATGTCTGAGACCTGTGTGAGCTCTGATTATTTTGGTGTAGCCAGGACTGAGGGAAAAACGCAATTTGTGGATGTGTCACTGCCAATTAATTCCATTTTAATTCCTCTACAAGGAATTTTGGAAGAGAAGGAGGGAATTCCCTCAGCTTTGAGCACCTAATTGGGATTTTTTAGTGTGCTGAAAAGAGAAATAAAGTTCTCAAAGCTGAATTTTTGGGGTGGGGGAACATTTTTCTCTTGACTACACTAAGTTCACTTTTACGCCTTAGATCCCCACCTTTGGGCAAATGGTTTTTGGAACTCCCACTGATCAATTCCTGCTTATTTGCATTAATAAATCTAAATTTAAAGTCTGCAATGGCCTGGAGCAGCCAGGGAGTTCTTGAGTTTTGGAGGGAAATGAGCTCAAAACAACACCTGGAGGCTTTTTCAAAGCCAAAAAATGTCCCCAAATCAGAAAAAATTCGATTTCTGCCAAAACTCAGCCACATCCCTTCAGAGCTGCCAGGAGATTTATGTACATTGCCCGTCAAGCAGCAAAAAAGAGACAAATGAACAGATTTCATCATTCCAGAGCGCTCTCCCTGCAGGGATCCCAGGAAAAGCTGATCCCTTTTCCTGCCTGTAGCAATCGCCTGTTGCCTCTGGAATCATCTGTTCCCAGTTTGGGCTCTTCCCTCCGCACCAAGCCGGTGTTTCCTTGCCAAGGAATCACCAGCAGCCTCACCTCAGTCTCAACAGCATCAAAACTCAGCATGGCCTTTATCAAATGAACCTCAGAATCTGCTCAAACTTTTCATATTCCAGTTCTCTCCCTCTGATTTTCTCTTCTCCCTGGGTTTTGCCACCTTTTATTTGCCTTCAATCCTGGCGTTTGACCTTTTCCTGTGCTTTCTGTCACCTGTTTTGGGGGTTTTTTTAAGCATCTCTAACTGTGCCACAGCAGCAGCTCTGGGGTGACAGAACGAGCTGCGCAAAATCTTCCTAAGAGTAATTAACCCCTGACTCCAATGAACTGCTCTTCCCTAAATCCAGCCAGGCCCGCATCCCAAAGCCTTTGGGATTGGTGCCTGAGGGGAATGATTTGTTCCCAATGTTCTGAGGGAGTAACTGAGGCAAAAATTCCATTTTAATGGGATTCTCCTCCATGTAACAGCAAGCAGAGTCCATCCTCCTGAGGCTTCTCCCCAAGGCTTTCAGGGGATGCCATCCTTCCACAAAAATTCCATGTTAGCAGCTCTTCCCGCTCAATTCTGCTGGAATTATGGATCCACAGCAGCAGGCCGGGATTTGGAAAGTCTGTCCATGGATATGGAGTGGGAGATTCCAGGAGTCCTGACTCAAATGAACCACTCTTCCCTAAATCCAGCCAGACCCGCATCCCAAAGCCTTGGGCCCAATGTTCTGAGGGAGAAACTGAGGCAAGAATTCCATTTTACTGGGATTCTCCCCGTGTAACAGCAAGCAGAGTCCATCCTCCTGAGGCTTCTCCCCGAGCCTTTCAGGGGATGCCATCCTTCCTCTGGCAGCACTGGGAGGGAGGCACTCCCCAGTCGTACATGTAGGAAAGCCTGAGTTTCACCTCTTCCTTACAGAGCTTCCCTTCCTTCGCCAGCGTCTGGTGCTTCTCCAGCATGTCCTCGATGCTCTGCTTGTGAGTCACGATGTATTTGTTGTTGCAGCCGCGCGATTTGTACTCGGTGTCGAAGCGGGGGTCGTGCACTCTCTTCACGTCGATGGGCGCCAGCCACACCCCCAGGGACACGTCCTCGCTCTGCCACAGGTTCAGGTAGTCCCTGCTGAGGCGCAGGTAGCGCACCAGGTCGGCGGAGATCACGTAGCCGCCGCCCAGCGCGTAGGGCAGGTAATAATCGCACAGCAGCCAAGCGCTCTCCTTCCACTTGCCCCCGGATTTCACCCTCCCGCGGCCCGAGAAGAAGCCCCAATAGAGGCGCCGCGGCTCCTTGGCCCTCAGCTCCTCCACCAGCACGTCCAAGCGCACGAAGGTGTCGTCGTCAGCCTTGAGGGCGAACTGGAAGTCCAGGTGCGTGTCCAGCCACACGTAGGTGGCCAGCACCTTGGCCGTGAGGTTCTCGTACGAGTCGCGCAGCTCCGGCAGCAGCAGCAGGTCCCGGTGGCGGCTCTGCTCCAGCTCCAGGCTCCGCAGCTCCTCG